TTTGACAGAAAAATTTCCTCCTCATCTCTGTCTTTGATGGTGACACCTTATTCTGAGATTATGCCCTCTGGTGCTAGTCCCCTGCAATGGGAAACCACTTCTCCACATTGTCTCCATCAAGCCGTAAGCAACTTATATGTTTCATTAAGGTCGTCTCTCATTCTTCTAAACTCCAACGAGTACAAGCCCAACCTACTCAACATATCCTCATAAGAAAATCTATCCATACCTGGGATCCACCTCGTGAGCCCTCCCTGGACTGACCCCAAAGCCAGTATAATATTCCTTAAATAAGGGACCAAAACCATTCACAGTATTCTCCATGTAGTCTAATTTGTTTTCGCATGACTTTCCTATTTTTATAATCCATTCCCTTTAAAGAAGGATAACATTTTATTTGCCTTTCTTATTACTTGCTAGCTTTTTGTGACTTATGCACAAGGACTCCTAAGTCCCTCTATACTGCAGCTTTCTGCAGTCTTCCTCTTTTAAATAACATTCAGCTCCTCTACTCTTCCTGACAAAATGCATGACTTCACATTTTCCCACTTTACATTCATCTGTGAAGTTTTTATGTGCTCAATTAACCTGACTATATCCCTCTGCAGACCACTTGCCTTCCCACTTGTTCTTGTATCATCCGCAAACTTAGCTATAGTAAGTTCATTCCCTCATTCAAGCCATTAGTATATGTTGTATATAATTGTGGCACCAGCACTGACCCTTGTGGCACTCCACTAGTTACAAGCTGAAATTGACACCCTATCCTAATTCTTTATGTTCGATTAGTGAGCCAATCCTCTATCCATGCTAATGTACAACCCCAATACCTTGCACTGCTATCTTATGGAATAGCCTAATGTTTAGTACCTTATCAAATATCTTTGAGAAATCCAAATATATTATATCAACTGGTTCCCCTTTATCTATCCTGCTTGTAACCTCTTCATGGAATTCTAATAAATTTGTCAGGCATGATCGCCTCTTCATGAGATCATACTGACTCTGTTTCTCTTTTGAATCTGAATCCCTTTTGTTAACTCATACAATCAATATTTAAATATAACTGATATTGTCAAAACATGTTTAGCAAACTTTCCCTTTGAATTCTGGAAACTAGATGTAGCATGCCAAATTTTTCATGGGGTATCCCACACTTGTGATGGAGAAGTGTATTGCGACATGATTTATGCCATTTTGACATGAGTTGGGTAACAAAAAGTGATTTTAGTCTAATGATAATTGATGCATGTTAAAATATACATTTTATAGAAAGGTGCTTTGAGAACGTTTATTGTCAAACATGCAGTTTGACAACAAAAATTGAAGGGAACAGTATCCCTCTTTCACTTGTGAGTGATGTTACTGTGACTGAGAATATCACCATCTCCTTGTCTATTTAGAAAAATATAGTTTAAAAAGCATTCTTCACAGGGAGAGTTGTTTGTACTGAACTTAACACTGTATTTGTGCTCTGCCTTTTTCAGTCATGTTCAAATTCAATGCATTGTATGTATTGAGAGACACATTTTAACAATAATACCACTATTCAAACCCTTTTCTGAATTACAAAAGGTGACACTACATAATGGACCTCAGCTGAGGCAGCAGTACAGATTCTAAAATTAGCCTCAGTGCTCTGAGCTAGGAGGCAAAATAAAATCAATCTGGCTTTCAGGGCCTAATCACAATCTACTACCTCTGTTGGAAAAAGCAATGTATGGGAAACTACGGAGGGAGGTGGATATTATATCCTCCATATGTGAACTCCTTCTATTTCTCACTACCCGTTCTTCCAAAATAAAACTGGAGTGCATGGTGCCAATGCCCAGGGAAACAGAAGATGAGTTCTGGAGGTAAGGGGAGAAAACTGAATATGTTATAAGGTGGCTTGTGTAAACTGGCCAACTACATTTTAAAATAATGCAAACTATCCCTTCATTGGAGAAGCATTCACCCTCTTGGAACAAATAATATTGTAGAATTGTGGTTATTTTTAACAACAAAGAGCACAGAGTTCAGTATCGTCTCTCATTAACTTTCCATCAGCAAACATGATTAACTTCAGAGATCCTCTGACAATGTGATCTGTCAACACTTAAAAACTCATGGAGCTCCGGACCATGAATGCCATTTAATTCTAGTCTTTTAATCAAAAGGAACGCTAGCAGGACCATTCTCTCAGCAGCCTTAATAATCATAATTTAAGAAAGATAATCAGAAGTAATATCTTAACAACTGCAAGATGGCATGGTCTAGCTACTTAAAGATTTTATTTCCGAGTAACAGAACTGGCTTTGTTCAGGTGGGAGCACATGAAAACCAGAACCAAATAGACTGACAAAGCAGAGGTTCTGTGACTGTAATTGTCTCTGATAGCGCTAATATTCTAATCTTTGACCTTTTATGGTTAATGAGATTCTGTAACAGGTAAGCGACCTTTATTTAACAAATTTTAATATTTCAGTCTGTAGGTTATTTCACAAGCAGTCCTTTCACTGGACTATTTCAGCGGAAATGGCTGAAGAAATCCTTGGGATTTGCATCCATTACAATCATACTGATACTGGATACTCCCCACTGAGTAAAGGTAAGAGGTACAGACATGGAAATGAAGCAGGCTCAGAGGCAAGTTACCAGAGCAGCTAGATTAGGTGCTAAACCAGTTGGATCTTAAGCCGAATACGAATATACACAGAATGAGCAAGTAATTTGCACTTTTTTTTGACATATCTTTGATTGTTTCCTGTAATATTTCTTCTTGTAATATAATTATACAAAGACTTTCACCAGCATATACTTTGAAGTTTAAGCAACACCTGTAACAAAACACAACATCTCTACATATTCACAGGAATGTTATCAAACAAAATTTACCACCCAGCCACATGTGGTTAGATCTTGCACCTCCTCTCCATTGGCACTCATGAAGGCCAGGGGTTTGTAAAAGAAAGCAGACAGACTTCCCATCATCTCTTCTCCCACTGACCCACCTCCAGTTAAATAGGGGGAAGGAGTTAGGTAGCATGCCAGCCCTAATGCCTATTGAGGCCCCTCTGGCCAATGCCGTTATTTTACCAGTGGTAAGGAAAGGTGGAGGTGAGGCATGTAGCTCAACAGCTTCCACTGTGTGTGGGTTGCTATGGATGGAACTTTGTGTGTGCATGTGTCCGGCCCCCACTCCCCCACCTTCTCTGGGGTTTGCTAATCAGGTCCATCCATACCCCTGACAATTATGGGCTTCATCACTTCTTCCTCAAGACTGGCTGCATTCCCTGCAGTGGGCACCATTTGATCTTGGCACTACAGAGCTGCCAGCTAACAGTAGCTGGTATCTCTCTAGGATGGGGCTTCCACTTAGATGGAACTAGAAGTCATGCTCTGAAACAATCTAGGCTACTCCTGGTGTAATATTGCAGTGGGATTTTGCCAGGATTCAGATGGGTGGCTAACAAACTGACTGAAAGCTTGCAAAGGGGCAGATTTTAAAGGGAGATCTGAGAAGCATGAGATGCAGATAAGCAGAGAGGCTTAGGGAGGGAATTCCAGAACCTGGAAATGGGACAAGAAACCCACCACATGAGAAGAGAGTTGCTTGAATACCCAGTTCAGGGCACAATGCTAATTGCAGGACCCTGATATAATTTTCAAGTGCAATTAAGTAGACTTTGCACCTATAATTCCCTATCCAGTTGAATCAGATGGCCAATAACCTGAGCTGGAAAGGGATCCTAGCTACGTAAATGGCTATTGTTGGTTTACCTCTCCTCACTTGCCCTGGGACTTCAACCATTGGCAGGTCCTTTGTGGATTTTATCTGATCTTCTCAAGTGCCGAGCACCTGAAGCTTGGAAGCAGCACTTAAATGAGGCTGCGCCTCACGTTTAATAGCAGCAGCAACAAGCAGACAGGTGGCCTCTTCTGCCTTGTCCACTTTTTGTCCGTTTCCAAAAATGCTAAGGGTCATACCTATAACACCCGCTCCCACACATCACCTGCAAAGAAATCCTAAAATGGAAGGGATTTACTATTAGGGCTGTTTGTTTCCCAATTTGTCCAGTTTAATCTGCTGAGCATGAATGAATTTGGGAGCACAACCAAAAGCTCTACTGGTTATTGGAATGTCAACTATTGCAACTAGCATTTTCCCCTGTTGGAGGAAGCTGGCAATATAAAAAAGTATTGCTGCTCTCCAAGTGTAGACAGAGCATTCGGCCACTTTAATTAAGCAGCTCTGATGAATTCAGTCATTTAACATTTCAAACTCTAACTGGAAAGGAAACAATGAGCACTGCGTGTGTGAGTGTGTGTGTGTGTGTGTGTGTGTGTGTGTGTGTGTGTGTGTGTGCGTGTGGGTGAGAGACAGTGAGTGTGTGAGCGTGAGAGAGAGAGAGTGTGTGTGTGTGTGTGTGTAACAGTGAATTGCAGTATCCTCATTGAGGTGAGAATGTCAGCTTTAAATAAACTCTTCTGTCACATAGTTCTGGCTGTTAGAAACATTCATTTATTTGTGATTCTTCTTTGCACCAGTCACTTAATTCTGAAGGCTTCAATGTGTTATTAAATCTTCATTACCCGTTGATTCAGAATACTCATTACACATTTTGCAATCCATCCTTTGACCAAACAAGGTTTTTGTAGACTTCAACCAGCAGTAGGCAGTGAATAAAAATAGATCCACAAAGCAATACTGCCTAATTCTCCTCAATGACTTGATTTCAATGCAATGAAATTGTTATGTTTCATGCTTTCAAGCACAAGGATACACTATATGGTATTATTTTGCATGCATATAGAATATTGGTGGGAGACTGGGCAGAGAAACAGAAATTACATACACAAAATAACACAAAAAGCAATGGCGTGAACATTACTAAATTTATGACACAGATTTCCATTGGTCAATCTGCAACTATATGCATCTCACAGAAGAGGTTAATAGCACCTTGATGCAATTGAAAAAGCATATTAAAGTTATGCAAAGGTTTGGAATAACTTACTGCTGGTTGCATAACATATGGTTGATGAGGCATCCACGATGTACTCTGGACCTATGTGGAAAATAATCTTAATTAGTAAAATACTTAAGAGTGAAATGTTCATTATTCATTTGTTTATCACAGAGGATTGTGTGGACCTCTTCCTGCAACTCAACAGCGAAAAATTCCATTTGTGGAAGTGTCTTTACAAATTGGGATCAGTGGCATACTAACAGTCCATGCCTTTATTGCTTTAAATTGCATCAAGAAACAAACAGAGCAACCATCAGTTTAGCACCCATTTGGGAAAGGTCCACCAAGTTTAGCAATCTACAAACCATATCAATGTCCTCTATGGTCACAGCTTTCCTATATTGATTATTCTTTCAGTCTGAGTGCTGTTTAGCAGTTATAACATAAGAAGCAGCAGCAAGATGGGCAATTCAGCCCTTCAAACCTGCCATGTCACTCTGTAAAGTCTCTACCTCCTCAACCTTTCATCCTATCCCCTTGTTCCCCTGATTGTATTTGGCTTCATCTGGAATGTATCAATGACTAAACACCCATAGCTCTCATGAGTACACACTTCCAATGATTCACAAACCTGTGAGTGAAGAAGCTTTTCCTGGGTAACCTGGGTTATCTAGCCAGAAGGACATTTTATCAACATTACTCTGTTAAGTTCCTTAAGAATCATCTTAGATCATACAATCATAGAATCCCTACGGTGTGAAAACATGCTCTTCGACCCAACAAATCCACACTGACCCCTAGAACATCCCACCCAGATCCATCCCCCTAACCTTAACATCCCTGAACACTACGGGCAATTTTGCATAGCCAATCCATCTAGGCTGCACATTTTTGGACTGTGGGAGGAAACCAGAGCACCCAGAGGAAGCCCACGTAACACGGGGAAAATGTGCAAACTCCACACAGACAGTCGCCTGAGGGTGGAATCCAACCCATGTCCCTGGCGCTTGAGGCAGCAGTGCTAACCACTGAGCCACCGTGCCGCCCAACTGTGTGCTTCAACGTGATCACCTCTCATTTTTATGTCTTGACTCCAGAGAAGGGAGACTAGTTTACTCAATTCCTCCTCGTAGGATAACTCTGCTATCCTTAGGAGTCAGTCTAATGAACCTTTGATGTAAAGGGACACTAATTTTTAAGGGAGATGAGGAGGAATTTCTTCTCTCAAAGGGTTGTAAGTCCTTGAAACACTCTGCCACAGGCAGTTATGGGGGCAGAGTCCTTGTGTATAGTTAAGGTTGTGATAGATACTTTCTTGATCAGTAGGGGAATCAAGGGTTCCAGGGAAAATGCAGGAAAGTGGATGTGAGGAATGTAGGATCAGCCATGATCCTATTGAATGGCAGAAGAGACTTAAGGTACCAAACAACCTTCTCCTGTTCTATTTCTTATATTCTTAATAAATCATCTATCGTATTCCAGTTATGATCTCACAAAGTTTATAGAAAACTGCAGTGAAACTCTTTAATAGGCTGATCCCATTTGTAATCCAATGTTATTGACAATGAAGTCACAACGGAGCTGGCAAGGATGAGAGTGCTGCATATGGCCTGTCTACCTGCACCCTGACTGATGCTAGTGAAATCTACCAGAGTAGGAATGGGTTGGCAATCCAGAATCAGATCCTCCTCACAAATTTTAGTAGTCTCCTGAGTGACCCAAGTCCATGAAAATTCAGATCACAGTATCTTGTCAATGTCTCTGCAATTTCCTTATTCCCTTTTATCATTTCTTCCACCTCTACCCATGTTTACGTTCACTAATCTCTTTCTTTTTACAAACCTAAAATGCTAAATTCGTTGCTCTTTCCAGTTACTCCCACCAGTTCTATCCATTTCTTGGTTACGCTTTGCTGAATTCGAAAATCCATCAAATTCTCAGGTTTACTGTTTGCTAACATTATATGCCTATTCTTTTAGTCTAACATCATAACCTGTGCAGACAGAAAGCTTCTCTGTGCAAAGAGACCAGAATCCCAAGTTCCATGCGAAAACCCAACCTTGGGCATTTTTCACCAGGTATCTGCTCTGATTTCCATGTTTAGCAAGTTTGGGAAGATAGACAGCTGAATATTAAGGAGGCAAGTTGGACATATAACAAGCAATAATCCTCTCAGCACTGTCCGGTGGGAAACTTGCCATGCTGCTTGTGCCAAGCCTAAAGGATAGAGCGAAATGATCCCAATGTTGAGATGGGCCTTGCTGCAGTTGTCACCTGATTCTGCCACATATCAAGCCATAGTCAACAAGGTTCTGTCCTTTAATTCATAACGCACATCACCAATGATGCTGCAATAAAGGAGTCTCAAGACTCTGAAATATTTGAAATTCAAATAATGGCTTAAAAGGCAGATAAAGCAGTGATGAACTTTTAGGACAATAGCCATATACTGTGGATACTGAAAGTCTGAAATAAAAACAAAACATGTGATAAATACTCAGCACATCAGACAATAACTGTGGAGTTAACATTTCATGTCGATGACTGTACTAATGAAAAATCATCAACCTGAAAAACTATCTCTGTTTCTGTCCACTCAAACTGCCTGACTCGCTGAGCATTTCCAGCATTTTCTGTTTGTGTGTGACCTTTTAAGAATTCAACTTGAATTGATTCAATTAACATTAAGTCAGTACAGTACAGGACATTCTGACACAAGGAAGATACTTAAGTGTGAGATGCAAAACGGAGAAGTACCAGAAAGTAAATTATTTCTATTAAATGTCTGAGTTGTATGAAAAGATTGCAGAAAGCTGTGTATCCCAAACAGGAGGCATCTGTGAGATTGTTTCAGACATGTGTATAAAACAATAAATGGTGTAGAAAAAGTAAGCTGAAAAATTACTTTAATGTAAATTGAAAGTGAAGGACAAGGAGACAAGGATTCAAACCAGTCATCGGCCACTTTTCGGACTGATAGAGAACAATCAGTACATGAAATGAACTTCCAGATGGAACTGCATAGGCAGAAATCCCAGAATCATTTATGAACCTAGAGGATGCTCTAGTGAGGTTAATTTTGGGTCTAATTTTGGATCAAAGGATTCCCTTCATTGGTAATTAGCTTGTAAATGTGTGACCTATTCCTGTCTGGTACAAATGACCTGATCACTGCATTATAGCTATTTAAATAACTACTTCTCTATGCAAAGTGTTTGTGTTCCTGGGTAAGTCAATTCCAACCTCCTTTTTTCCATATCTCATTACTTTTTGAACAGGAGCCCATTTGTGTCATATATTGTTGGATCCACAGGAGGAAAGCAATAACAATTAGTGAAGGCAACTTTTCATTATAACTGCAAGAACAAATACTTTCTTTACAGATATGGTTGTATTGAATGAATGCTATCAGACTCATCTGAAATCCCCATCTCCTATTTTAACAGTTAATTTGTACAAGCATCTGAGTATTATCACAATAAAATCACAAAAACAGCAATTTCCAGTTTTTAAAATAATTTCATTTACATGCTACGTTACGTCTGGCAGGCTAAAATTTAAATTTTAGTTAATCTTTGCCCATTTCCATCACTGCAATAATGTAAAGACAAAATAATGTGGATGCTGGAAATCTGAAACAAACACACAAATTGCTGGAGAATCTCAGCAGGTCAGGCAGCATCTGTCAAGAGAGAAACAGAGTTAATGTTTCAAGACCAGTGTAACTGTTCTTCAGAACAGAGTTCAGAAGAAGGGTCATACTGGACTCAAAACATAAACTCTGCTTTTTTCACTCCACAGATGCTGCCAGACCTGCTGAGTTTCTTCAGCATTCTCTGTGTTTGTTTCAGACCATAATAATATACCTTATTATGCAAAAAGAATGACCTGACTAAATTAACCAGGTCCATGTGGACTTAGATGTTTTATTGGTTCTCTGATTAATAAAACAATTGCATTTCTATTTACATAATGGCAGTGCAGAGATAGTAACAGTACGTTCTCTGTGTGATGACAAGACTAAACAGAATTACTGGGGAGAATTGGTGCAGGGTTCTTCTGATCCTTCACTGGAACTTCGGTGGCAAATTAAAGGAAGTGCTGGAGAAAGGGCATAAGAACATAAGAAATAGGAGCAAACCAGGCCATTTGGCCCCTGGCACCTGCACCCCCATTCAATAAAATCACTGCTAATCTGATTGTGGCTTTAACTGCACTTTCCTGTCTGAACCTTACAATCCTTGACTCACATGTTAATCAAAAATATGTCGAAATTAGCCGCTGCTTCTGTGCCATTTCCCATGGTCCCTGCTCACATTCTGTCATAACTATAATGAGATCGAAAGCCCCTCCCACAAAATGCAGGTGGCTATTTCAGAGAACCATTGGTATTTTTCTTTCCGCTTGTTTTAATCATGGAGTCTCAGCTCGGAACCAAAGGGTCAATTTCTATCCGCGCAGCAATCTGCATGACCTTTGCATCCTGACTATCCCGAGCTAAATTTAACTCAATTTAATTTAAATTAAATATAAATTTAACTCAATTAAAAGGCCAAATAAGGCAAGTGATCAGCGGCTGACTAGCATTTTTTCACTCAGTATCCCAGCCCTCTGTGACAAGGAAGTATCACTGTCGCCTGGAGTGATGGGGTGAGTTATGTGATGTGAATACCTTAAAAGTGAATAAACATCTGCAGCACCCAGAAAAGTGGGCACTAGATGTTGCAGTTTACCAATGAAGACTACTAACTAGAACTGGTATCCAAGACCAGACGAGGGAACTGTACAATGGCCTGAGTAAGATATGCCAGCATGGAAAAGCAGTGGGGTAATATCACTGGATGAGTAATCTAGCATTTCAGACTGATGTTCTTGGAATGTGGCTCAATTTCCACCATGGCGGATAAAGAAATTTGAATTCAATAAAGATTTGAAATTGAAAGCTGGCCTAACATTGACCACGTAACCATTGCCAATTTTCGTAAAAAGCCAATGGTTCACTAATGTCCATAGAATCCCTACAGTGTGGAAACAGGACCTTCAGCCCAACAAGTCCACGCTAACCGTCAGAGCATCCCACCCAGACCCATCCCCCTATAACTCACCTAATCAACACATCCCTGAACACTAAGGGCAATTTAGCATGGCCAATCCACCTAGCCTGCACATCTTCGGACTGTGGGAGGAAACACACGCAAACATGGGGAGAATGTGCAAACTTCATACAGACAGTTGCCTGAGGGTGGAATCGAACCTGGTTTCCTGGTGCTGTGAGGCAGCAGTGCTAACCACTGAGCCACCATGCTGACCATACCACTAGGCCATTGCCTTACCATATATGTCCTTTAGGGAAAGAAATCTGCTGCCTGTACCTAGTATGGCCTACATGTGACAGCAATGTGGTTGACTCCTAATTGTCCTCAAAAATGGCCCAGCATCCATAAAATTCAAGGGCAATAACGGATAGGCAATAAACGCTGGCTTTACCAGCAATACCCAGCTTCCATCAGCTAATTAAAAACAACTTAGACTGGCATTCACAGGAAATACAACTGTTTTATGGGACTGAAAAAAAAAATTATGAATGGTGGAATGACAAGGATAATGAGAAAATGATGTTCTGGACCTCAGTTCCACACTTCCCGACCTTCACCTTGTCATCCTCCTTCAAGATCACTCCATCTCATCAAAAGAAAGCCATAAGGCTTTTCGACTTACTTGCATGCAATAAATAGCATTCCAGCAAGAAAAATAAAAATTGGATGTTGTCTTTGTGTGGTTAATTATTAACAGAATCACAGACAAAAAGTAAAGAGCAGTGGAACATTCTCCCTCACCTGATATGTTGAAACAGGGGAAGCAGCAATGAAAGGTGTGATAGATGTCTGTGCAATCATACGATTTGTTGCAATACTGTATGGTGAAGAATAAAAACTGTAGGAAGTAAGCACAGTATTAGTATAAGATAAAAATCCAGACAAGAACCATAACTGGCGTCATTCTCTTTCCAACTCCTACAATGTGCTGTGTTCCAGAAAAGTCCAAACGCAAAACATTTGCCATGGTTCAGTATGAAATTTTGCAGATCAAAGGTTGGGCAATCCTCACTGCTCCAACGTAAAAAATGTCCATTAGATGTGATGCTTAATTGTCTAGTTGCTTGCCAAAATGTGTCTCAGAGGAGGTCATTGTCCTCTCTGCTGTTTGTACATACACAGACATGTTCCCATGTACGTACTTGTGCTTTGGGTACAAATGCACTTTGAAGTTTCTACAATCACTGAAGGTTCCTTGCCAAAACCGGCTGCCGGTCTATTAACTACAGTGAAAAAATATTGGACTTAACATGGATTTTCCTCATTATTGGCATCCCAAGCCAAAACAGTTCAGTTAAATATGTGAATATATGCTTTTGTATGAATTATATTTTATGTTTGGATTTATATTAATTATTTTATCACACAAAAATATTCTGGAACAGTGGCCAACCGCAAGAAGAGAGATGGAAGTTGTTACTACATACAGTTCTTCATTCAAATGTGTTGAGGTTGTTCCTCTGACAATGTTATAAGAAACAACAATAGTTGTGAAAATGCATTGTCACCAAACAGTTTGCAAATGCTAGTACTCTGACTGAGCAAAGTATCAGTTAGACTATGAATCTTTGAATTTCAGTGTGTTCTGTATTACATTTAGAAAGGCATTGATGGAAAGAGGTGACAGTCTCAGGAGCTTCTAACACACCAATAATTCATAAGAAGCCAGCATACAGCTCAGAAAATACTCACCCATTCTGCATAGCAGCGGTGGGATCATAGGTTAAAGCCATTCCAGTCTATAAAAAAGGAATTGTAATAAGTATTAAATAATGAGTTCTTATGAAACTTTATCTTAACACCAATTGAACTATTGTTCATTACCTTGTATCTTTTAAACAGTGCCATCATTATTTTATTAAATTGATCAGATTTGTAGGAACATACTGGGAATTTTTCTCTCCCTGGAGAGAATGGGAAATAATGAAGTGAGTTGGCCACTTCAATAATTAAGCTCTGGGCAAAAAAGTCTACTGGGAACTTTTATCACCCCTAACTGTTTAAGGTCTCTCAGGAGTCACTTAATGGCTACTAAAGAGCCTCAACTCGCTAACCCCACAATTACAAGCCTTTCCAACAGGCAAGAAAGGTTGTTACAGAGATAGTAGGAACTGCCGATGCTGGAGAATCTGAGATAACAAGGTGTAGAGCTGGATGAACACAGCAGGCCAAGCAGCATCAGAGGAGCAGGAAAGCTGATGCTTCCGGTCAAGACCCTTCTTCAGAAATGGGGGAGGGGAAGGGGATTCTGAAATAAATAAGGAGAGAGCGGGAGGCGGATAGAAGATGGATAAAAGAGAAAGTAGGTGGAGAGGAGACAGACAGGTCAAAGAGGAGGGGATGGAGCCAGTAAAGGTGAGTGTAGGTGGGGAGTTAGGGAGGGGATAGGTCGGTCCAGGGAGGACGGACAGGTCAAGGAGGCGGGATGAGGTTAGTGGGTAGGAGATGGGGGTGGGGCTTGAGGTGGGAGGAATGGTTAGGGAGGCGAGGACGAGCTGGGCTGGTTTTGGGATGCAGTAGGGGGAGGGGAGATTTTGAAGATTGTGAAGTCCACATTGATACCATTGGGCTGCAGGGTTCCCAAGCGAAATATGAGATGCTGTTCCTGCAGCCTTCAGGTGGCATCGTTGTGGCACTGCAGGAGGTCCAGGATGGACACGTTGTCCAAGGGCTGGGAAGGGGAGTTGAAATGGTTTGCGACTGGGAGGTGCAGTTGTTTGTTGCGAACCGAGCGTAGGTGTTCCACAAAGCGGTCCCCAAGCCTCCGGTTGGTTTCCCCGATGTAGAGGAGGCCACAACGGGAACAGCGGATGCAGTATACCACATTAGCAGATGTGCAGGTGAACATCTGTTTGATGTGGAAGGTCTTCTTGGGGCCTGGGATGGGGGTGAGAGGGGACGTGTAGGGGCAGGTGTAGCACTTCCTGCGGTTACAGGGAAAAGTGCCGGGGATGGTGGGGCTGGTGGGGAGTATGGAGCAGACAAGGGAGTCACGGAGAGAGTGGTCCCTCCGGAAAGCAGATAAGGGTGGGGAGGGAAAAATGTCTTTGGTAGTGGGGTCAGATTGCAGATGGCAGAAGTGTCGGAGGATGATGCGTTGGATTTGGAGGTTGGTGGGGTGGTATGTGAGGACGAGGGGGATTCTGTTTTGGTTGTTATTGCGGGTAGGGGGTGTGAGGGATGTGTTGCGGGAAATGTGAGAGACACGGTCGAGGGCGTTTTCGACCACTGTGGAGGGGAAGTTGCGGTCCTTGAAAAACGAGAACATCTGGGATGTCCGGGAGTGGAATGCCTCATCTCGGGAGCAGATGTGGTGGAGGCAAAGGAATTGGGAATAAGGGATGGCCTTTTTGCAGGAAGGCGGGTGAGAGGAGGTGTATTCTAGGTAGCTGGGGGAGTCGGTAGGTTGAAATGGATATCGGTTTCCAGGTGGATGCCAGAGATGGAGACAGAGAGGTCCAGGAAGGAGAGGGAGGTATCAGGGATGGTCCAGGTGAACTTAAGGTTGGGGTGGAAGGTGTTAGTGAAGCGGATGAACTGTTGGGTGGCTAATTTCCCGATTGGAAAATCAGGGTGACCTGCCAGTTGGGTTGGGGGCGTGGGGAGTGGCGGTGGTAGGGGATGCAATTGTGAATCCTGACAGGTATTTTATTTTGTTTTTATCTTTTGCTTTACTCTTACAGCAGCTCACATATCCAACTGACAAGGATGCATGGTTACATTCTGAATAGTTTCCTTTTTCAAAGAAAAACTAGGTCAAGAACCATTCCTGAAATGTAGGGAGGAGTTGAAGGAATGTACAAAACCTGGAAGCATTCTAAATGGAGAGGTGGACAGTGTAGAACTCAAAAGGATACAGGCAATTTGTTGCAGTGCAAATGAGGTTTAATGCAGAGAAGCGTGAAGTGGTTCATTTTGGTTGGAAAAACATGGCAGACAACATAAGTTAAGGGGTACAATGCTAAAGATGCAGGAACAGATGGAACTGCATACATATTATCTGCATAAAGCATTAAAAGTGGTAGGACGGGGAGAGAAAGTAGTTAGTGAACATACAATATCCTAAAATTTATTAATGGCATAAAGCACAAGAACAAGGAGGTTATGGTAAACTTGCATAAGCTGTGCTGGGCACCACACTTTAGCAAGGATGTGAATACATTGGAGAGGGTACAGAAGAAATTTATAATAATGGTTCCAGGGATGACAAACTTTAGTTATGAAGAAAGATTGGTAAAGTCTAGACTGTTTTCTTCAGAGAGGAGAAGGCTTAGATGAGATTTGATATAGGTTTTTAACATCAAAAGGGGTTTGGAATGGAATAGATTGGAAGGAATTATTCCCACTTGTAAAAGAATCGCAAATAGGAGGACATAGATTTAAGATGATTTACAAAAGTAGAAAAAGCAATCTGTGAACAATCTTTTTCACACAGTGATTCCAAGTATGGGATGCATTGCCTAAAAGCATGGTGGAAGCAGGTTTAATCAAGGCATTTAAGAAGGTAGAAGATGGAGATAGGTCATAATGCTTATTTGGAGAGCTAGTACAGACCCAATGGGCTGAATTTCCATCTTCTGTGCTGTAATGTTTCTGTTAGTCAGTGTGCATGAAGTCCTTTATGAGGCATTAAGTCCATTTGGGCAGTAGCCTGCTGGTTATTACCATCCAACTATTAGTGTAACTTTGTCTAGTTTCCTACAGAGGTATGTTAACTCAAATAATAGAACATAGCAAGTGACAATAAAATACAAGGGCTGAACAACCAGGAAGTGGCCACTTCATTTTTGTTAAATTTACCGCAGGCTGAAAGGGGTTGGCAAGCTAACCGCAAGAAAGATTTCAGGAAACAAAACATTCACATTTCACCAAAGAATTCATTAAATTCGTTTACTACCTAAACCAAGTGAACAATGAAATAACTGGATGAAGAGTGCCTTTAAAGAAGGAGAATGTGAAAAAACAAGATAGATGAAGGGCCCTAAAAAGCAGATTAATATCCTGGACAGCATACCAAGGATTAGAGACCTCACAATTAAAGTCTATAAAGCATGGGGCAATGGTGAACCCGCAGTAACAACTATAGCATTGACTATGGAGACAAATGATCAGATTTCATCCAGTAATTATTAACATTAATTATTTACTATTATTTCTAATAATACATGAAGAATTCCAATATTCCATTTTTTATATTTTTCTATTAATAATTTTGAGAGGTTGTTCAGCTTGTGTAGATTTTGTTGGATTACAGTGTGTCACAGTATCAGTTCTATTTTGCAAACAGTCCTGATTCTCATCTATACATCTCATCTATATGTCTGGTGTCAAAAAATTAGTTTGCAAACCTTGCATTGAGAAGACGGTATACATAACACATATTTAACATGCAAGAACACCCCAGAAAATTAAATTATATCAGCACTGCCCCAGAATAATTTATTCGATTCCCTAATTACTGTGATAATGCATTAAAAAATGAGGATGTGCAACAGTAATTGTATTAAAATTTGGGCGAGCACAAAATTTCCACTTAATTTGCCACCAGAAGGTTTATACCATCTAAGATAATTTCCTATTTTCCACAAATTTGCAACAAGGCCAACTTTCACAGGATTCCCCTTCTGTATGTTGCAGTGCCAGCAAGCTTTTCCAGTGAACAGCCCCATTCAACCTGCATTGAACCTATTGAAAAGCTCTCTCACACTGGGTGTAAGGAGATGAATGGCTGCTGGAAATGGTTTCCATTCCAATGCTGGCAAGAATGCCAATGATGGCAATGCAAGTGCAGGCATCTCTCGAAGTTCCTCACAGGCTCATTTTATAGATATAATTACTTGGTAATTGAGAGTGTCAGTTGCTTGGATTTCTGGTCATTAGATATTTAATGGGTTATGTTGTGAGCTGTATGCAGTAATGCCTCTTCTACCACCCAAGTGGGATTGCTGAAATTCCTTGAATGTAGCAACATGAGCTGACACTGCTGATAATTAAAGACACCCAAGTAGAAACTACTTGTCATTATTTAAATCTACTGGTGCCATTAGGCACTTAGCACTTATTACAAGGATATTAGACTCGGAGACAAAGAAAAAAAATATCTAGAAGCCCTCTTGGTGAAACTTCCCTTCACAGAAACTTTGTTGTGAAACCAATGCACAATATAACACTGCAGTCCAGTATTTCTACAGCAATAAACTGCATCTATACAAGGTCCATAACTGTGAAAGCATTCAACTAAATTTCATCTGATAAAACAGCCCAAATGAAAATATCTCAACAATGTCAACAGGATGCCACAAACAAGTTTGATTTTAATGTATAAATGGGCAAAGCACATTAAGAAAGTTCAGTCCCATTTTCAGGAAAAGCGATTATCTTCTCCAGCCAAATATCAAACTGAAACTCTTTTATAGTTAATGCCTGGGGGACATAGCAAGGTCAATGGAATGTTGGCCTTTAATTCAGAAGGAACGGGCAATGAAAATAGGAAGTCTTTCTAAAAGAATACAAAGCACCAAGTAGAAGGCAGCTGAAATACTGCAAACAGTTTTAATCCCTTTATTTAAGGATCTTTATAATGGCACTGGAAGCGGTCCACAGGAGGTTCCCAAGGTTGATCCTGGGTATGGAGGAATTCTCCTATGAGGAGAAGTTGAGTACATTAGGCACAAGCCCATTGGAGTTTAAAAGAATGTGAGGCAACTTTACTGAAACATGCATGATTCATAGGGGGCTT